AAACCCGATGGCAGAAGCAAGTATGACATGACAATATGTGGACGGATGAGGAACAGAGAGAGGGGCCGCAGAGAAGAGATGAGGAGGTCGGGAGGAGAGAGCAAAGGCAGTGTTGGGGGCGAGGTCATCATGGGGCCTGAGGTAGACCCCGATCTGGGCTCTGAGGACCATGCTGGAGACAAGGAGCAGAAAGGCCTCAAGGGCCCGCAACCCCTAGCCTGACAACCCCCTGCCTGAGGGGCTGCCCGTGGCAGTCAGTAACTCTCAGAGGACACAAGCCCAGATTCCCCTCTGGAAACTGAGGGGACACTCTGTGACAAGGGGAGGCTCTGGGGCACAGGGGAAGGAGAAGGGCAGGACGGAGAAGGTGGCCTCAGGGCCCCATGTCCCACAGACCTGCAGCTCTCACACACACTGGCCTGCCCTCCTCAGGCTGCTAGACCACAGACCTCTGTCCTAAGATGGGCTTGAAATGCCAGCAGCTCCTAGGCCCCTGGTGCCCTTCTGGCCTGCCCCCTGGCCCAGTGGCCTTCCACTTGCACACCTACCTGCTGCAGTGCTCTCGTTGCCCACGGGGGTGCTGGAGCAGCTTCGGTCCATGGTAGAGGACTCGGAGGACACGGCTCCTGGGCTGCAGCCTGTGTAGTCCATGTACTCATCTGTCTCAGGGTCCATCAGGCTAGGGGTGCCCTGAAAGGAAGGGGAGTCCTTCAGGAAGCTGGGCTGGGGGCACGCTAGGGCCTTGGGTGGTGTGGCCCACCACCTGGAAGCCACAGTGGGATGCTGGTGATGTGCCGTGGTCAGGGGAGGCCTGGCACTGACTCTCACCTGAGAGGGGGGCACACGGTCAAAGTTCTTCCCCAGCATCCTCCGCATGTGCTTCCGGGCGTGTGAGGTCATCTGGTGCTTGAGGAGGAAGGAGAACTGGCAGCCCTCACGGATGCAGTGGAAGTGGCTGTTCACCTGGTTGTACTTGCAGCCTGTGGACACAGCCCCACCAGCCATGAGCCCCGCTGCTGGCATGTGCTCTTGGGGCACCTACTGGGTGGTGGGCCCCAATATGGGCCAGGGGAATAGGGGCCAACAAGGGAGAGGGCATCTGGGAAAAGGATAGTCTCCCCCATGGCGATGCAAACAGTTGATATGAGTGGCTAACAGAAAGGCTGCAGGTTCGATTCCAGCCAAGGTGCCTCAGAAGGAAAGCCTAGTGACCTCCTTCTGAACAGTTAGCCGTAGAAGACCCTGTGGAGCTGAACTCTGAACTCTGACACACGAGGCCGTGAGTCGGAGTCCAACTGATGGCAACTGGTCTCATGGTCACCTGGTTGACCTCTATTCCGTACCAGGAAATCCTAGGCCACCTGGCTGTCTGGAGCCTGGACCACCCTGACCCAGCATGGAGGCAGGCTGGCCCCTGCCCTCACCACCACATTCTGAGAAGCCCAGAGACTCGAGGCCAAGGGACCCTAATGGACTCTCCTCAGTGGGACAACTACATCATGACAAAGCACCTGAGCACTTGTCTCCACATCTCTGGGGAGCCCTGGATGCTGCACCCCCCCCCCGGTCTATTCTCCGCCCCCGCAAGCTCCCGCTTTGCCCTGGCGTTGGGAACAAACAGAGCAGGCGGGATTGAAAGACTATCAGCAGAGGGCAGGTGAAGGCCTGCCCGTTGCCATGGCACCTGGGCTGGCCAGGTGTCTTATATCATTCCCCAGCTTTGTTTGGCCCCAGCTACCACCAAAAACACCCCAAGTTGAGTAAATAACGCTGACTCCAGAAACTCTGACATCTGTAAACCGAGCCCAGGTACAGCAGAGGCCACTGGTGTTGACACCTATTGCCATGGTTACCAACCCTCACCCCCTGCCATGAATTCTTTTTGAATTAATACTTGAAGCTTTGTTTCCTTTCTTTTCCGGCCGTTGACTCTTGAGTATTTTACCCTTCAGCCTATAGAAGGGCCTGTCTGCCCAGGCAGTGCCCCCTGCTCCCCGGGGATCCCGCTGCCATGGCCACCTGTGCCACAATAGGCCTATGGCCTAGGTGTCTGCTCAGCCTGCCTTTGCCTGCCTGGCTCCCACCTGCCCTCTAGTTTCCGGTCTATTCCTGGGAGATTCCACAGTCCATGAGCATGTGGTTCTATCCTGAGTCTGCCTGTGGCCCTGGGGCCTGAACTAGCAATATCCCTCGGGCAGGTTCAGTGGGGAGGCCCTGTTCAGGTGCTGGGGGTGGCTTCCCTGGGGGACAGCTCAGCTTTCAGTGGCAGAGTTAACATCCAGGCATCTGCTTCACAGTTCAGGGCCATTTTGTGGCCACCTCTTCCCAGACTCATGGCCACTTCGCTCCTGGGTCTCCCCAGGGAACAGAAGCTTCAGGCTGAGCCCATGATATACTAGATTGTTCCCCACCATACCCCTTGCCCTGAGCATAAGCCATGAGCTTAAGCCCTGTTCGCAGCAGGCCCTTGAAAGTCTTGGCCACTGCTGCCACCACCCCCTGCAACAACACAGAGCCTGGCATTGAAAACATCACTCCTCAATATATGGTAAATGAATGAATGAATGAACGGGCAAACGAATAAACTGTGGTCCATTTCAGAGAAACACCTTATAATTCAAGCCATGGAAAGTGACCCCAGGGCACTGAATTTCAGGAACCCCTAAAACTTACCTGCAAGGCCTCAGGTCTTGGAAAGAAAGGGAAAAAGAATTAAGTCAGCCCCTGGACTCTGAGGCAGAGGGCCCCAAGCCGTTCTCCTTGGGCTGGAGATGGGTGCTCTGGGTCACCTTCACCACTTTTTCCTGGGCTTTATGGGTTTCGACTGTTGCATAAGTTTGACAAGGCCTGGCCCATGGTATCTGTGGCATCTTTAGCAGAACATGGCATGTGATGTGCAGGGGCAGGAGGTGGGTATTAGGAGTAGTGTCCGGAGGCCCAGCCCTGCCACCCGCTGCACAGTCTGCAGACCCACCCCCAGCCCTGCGTTACCTAGCCTGCCACACTCCTCACGCTTGGTGAAGTACTTGAACCCGTTGGCTGCCCGCCGCTCAGCTTTCTCATGCTTCTTTATGTGCCAGGGCAGCTTGGTGGTGATGTTGGTCACGAAGTAGCAGCCAGTGCGGAGACAGTGGTAATGCCCACGCATCCGGAATTCGCAGTGCTGCAGGGAGGAGGTACTGGGTCAGGACCAGGCAGGCAACAGCTTGAGCATCAGCTCTGCCTGCCCCAGTTCTGGGCTGTGTAGGCCCCTGGCACATGTGTTCTTCCATGCTCAGAATCAGAAAATTCCCTTGTGCAAAAACCCTTCCCATGTTAAGAAGAAGTTGGTCCCCTTGGCCATTTGACCAAAACATCCAACCGGGCATGCATCCTATCCCTTTCAATCTCATGCCCATGGCAGACATCACCAATCTATCCTTGCACTCTTTGTATACCCAGACTTAGGCTGAGATGCCTCTCATTATGCTCTGCTGGTAGCCCCTCCCAGTCCAGGAAAAGGCTTGGAGGCGAAGCTGATTTACCCTTCCTGACTGGGGGACAGACAGGGCAATCTCTACCGTCCAGTGGACCTATTTTATTGTTCCAGGTATCTGGGAGTACAGGGGAAGCTAGTTCCAGGATGGGCTAGAATGACGATGCCAAGTCACCATGGCAGCCCAGCATTTGTCCCCAGTGAGGCTGAGGATGAAATGACAGACTTGGCACCAACTTGGATGCCCGCCTAGGGGCCTCCAGGGCAGACAGTGTCCTTTCCTGAATCAGGTGGAGGCCAATTAATAAAGGGTGTGTGAGACAGAGCCCCTGCCAGAGGGGCTCTTCCCAGGGCTCCCTGCCCTCTAGCCCCACGCCTTGCCTACAGTGCTGACCTGGTTGGGGCAGAGACATTGTAGGGAGTAGTAAGCAAACTGGTCTCGCACGTTCACCAGGTTGTTGTTGGGGTTGATGTGGTCCAGGCAGTGAGACTCGGCCTTGCCGGAGGTCTTGCAGACATACTTGCAGTTCCCAAAGAGACAGTGGAAGTGGAACTTGTTGGCATACTTGCAGTCCGTCGCAAGGCAGGGATCACTGGAATGAAACCACAGCCCAGACAGTCATTGACATCCCCACAGCCCTCCCCTCTGGGGTCCTGATGTGCACTCGCTGGGGTCTGCTCCCCAGTCACCAATGCTGTCACTGGGATGGGCAGCCCCAGGGCTGCCCTCCTGTCCAGCAAGATGTTTCAGCTGGAGGAAACTACAGATCCCAGCATGCATTCCTGCACTGGTTAGGAGCCCTGCGTGGTGCCCGAGGATTGCAATATGCAGGGTGCCCAGAGCAGTGCATGCTGGGACACGAAGTTCCCAAGACCACACCTTAGGATTACAGATAAGGATGGCGGCAATGACTTCTTGGATATGGAAATGAAGCATGGTGCTGCCAGCCCTTGGCAGGATGCCAGCGAGGTCCTGGCTGGCACAGCCCGGGCACTGCCCTGGATGTGACAGACAGACTGCAGATGGGTGGGCAGCCCCACCAGAAAGCTCTGCCCCCATGGTGCCTGTGTCAGGGCCCCCTGAGGCACACAGCTGCTTGCACTCCCCAGGGTCAGCTCAGGGCCTGCAGCACCCACCCACTCAGAGAGTGCCTAACCCAGCTGAGCGTGTGAGCTGGTGGGGCAGGAAGGGGAAGCCTTGGGGCAAGCCCCTATGCCTTGCCCTCTTGAGAGGCCTGGGGCAGCAGCCCACACCCCTGGAGCTCTGTCTCAGAGGTGCAGAGAGGTGGAAGGAGGCTGAGCTCCCCCTCCTCTTCTGGCTGCCAACACTGTCATCCCCCTACAGCAGACTTGGGGTGAGTGCTCTGACCAAGTCCAGGACACTAAGAGGGCTATTGCTTGGGGAGGTGACCAGGGGAAGGAACACAGGGCAGAGATGGAGGAGCTTTGGTTCCCTTTCATGCTGGGGACCCAGCTCCAGGTGCTGAGAGGGAGGACAGCCGCCACTCACGGGGTGTGTGTTCACATCCAATTTATTACTTTTATTGAGAACAGGAAGCCGCGGTGCACACATTACGATACAAAGTCACCGTTCTTGCCGCAGGGAGCCACCACCAACCAGTGAGGAAGGTGCCTTCCACCCCTGAGTGCGCAGAGCTCTGTGCACGCAGTGGGCCTAGCCCCTCACCCCACGCATGACTTCTTGTGCCCTGCTGTGGGCTCGGGCCACAGCAGTGCCAGCAAGGAGGCCCAGATGGAGACTTGGGACTCCCAGCTGGATAAAGAAGCCCTGTCCTCTGAGGACCACTACTCCAGCTGGCCCTCACCAGACCACCCACCCAGCTGGCACAGCAGCCACTACCACCACCGTTGCCCCTGGCCCCCTGGCAGCCCCTGGCCTGCTCCAGGAACAGGCACTGAGGTCTGAGCAGCAGCATCTTTGGCTAGAAGGACACTGATGGATGACCATGTCCCAGAGAGGCTGGAGACGGCCAGCGCTACTCTGCAGGATGGGGAGCAGGGCCTCCTCGGCTGCCCCTGCTAGCACCTACGCCCAATGACACGCGGGGGACGCGGGATTCCCGGCTCATCGAGGGACTCACTTCTCCTGGAACTGGAGGAATCCGGGTTTGACCTGGGGCTTGGCGTTTTCTAGAGAAGTCGTTGCCAAGGGTGAGGCGGGCAGGTGAGGCACTGATGCTGGGATCTGAGGCATCTGGGGGATGGCGGAAGCCAGCTGCTTCCAGGCGAGGAGGGTGGGTGTGGAGGGCACGGAGGCCGGGCTGGGGGCTGGCCCCTCCAGGGAGGAAGCCGTGGCCGTGGTCACAGGAGGTGCTGGCGGGGACGAGGGGGCTAGGCAAGGTTTGGTCTCAGCAGCTGAGGCCGGGAAGGCAGGCTCTGAGTTTCCTTTCACTGCTCCTCCCTCTGTCCGGAAGTGGAAGCTGTGAGAGGCATAGAGGGTGTCTCAGGTGGGGAAGCTGAGGGGGACTGAGCAGGTCAGCCCTGCTCTGGCTTGGGGCCCAGCATCCCTACCATGTCCCCAGCACTAGACCCCAAAGGCCTCCTGTGACCCCCCTCAGAGGGAAGAACTTGAAAGCAGGCAGCTGTGTTCTCAGGCTCTGACTTGGGCCTGACTACATCTTCCTACAAGATCTATGACTCCACCTTGGTTGTCTGTCCCCAGCTCCTCCCTGCACCATGGAGAGCAGGCCCTGCCTCAGGAAACCCCTCCCTCCCAGAACGTGCTCTGAGATTTTGAATGTGGAACTCTTAAGAACTGAGCGTGGGCTCTGCTGCTGTCCAGCAGTCAGAGGTTTCAACAGGAGCAGAGCCAGCCCGGGCCGGGGCTCAGGCAGCAGGGAAGGTGTTGTCAATGTTTACAGATTCTGTTCAATTATACGGAGGCTGCCAGGCTTGCTGCTTTCTAACTCAATGGATAACACCAATTGATTTCATTATTTCTGGGAGCTCTGGTGGCATAGTGCCTAAGGCATTTGACTGCTAACCAGAAGGCTGGTGGTTCAAAGCCACCAGCCACTCCTTGGAAGTAAGACTGAGCAATCTACTTCCGTAGTGATACCACCTCAGAAACCCAAGGAGGGGTCGCTATGAGTCGAATCCGACTTGACGGCACTGAGTTTGGTTAGGTTTTTTTGGAGGTCAAAGGGAATCTAACAAGGTAGTATCCTGGCTTGCAAGGCATTTACCTAGGTCACTGCCCTGGGAGTCTGTACTGGCTGCCCAGCTGGGCTCTGAACCTTCAAGGCCAGCTCTACAGGGAGTGCAGGCAGTGTGGCTGATGGTGCCACCCAGGACTGAGGCCTGGCAGCTGGGCCCAGGGACTCAAGTGGGGCCTGTGCAGGAGCTGAGCCAGTCAAAGAAGGCAGCACCCTCTTGTGAGAAGCCCACATGGCTCTGTGGTCTGGTGGGAGCAACACGTGAGGTTCTGTGGGAACACCTAGAAGCCCTATAGCACCCAGGCCCTCCTTTCGGGCCCCACCCTTCCCCAAGACCCTTACTCACTTGGCGTGCTTGATGGCCCCATCCAGGGTGCTGAACAGGGCGCCACACTCCTCCACCACGCAGTGGAAGTGGGCCTTGTGGAGGAAGTCACACTGGGCATTGCAGAAGTCCTTGGTGCCAAACCTGCCAGAGGAGTGGCTAGTTAGAGGGGATCCTGGGCTGGGGGCAGCTGGAGCCTGGCCTCCCACTCTCCCCTCCCTCCTGCCGCGCTCTCACCTTCGCAGGTACACCTTCCAGGGCTCTGCCAGCTGCTCCTGGACCAGGGCCTTCACTGCCCTGCCCAGGAAAGGCGAAGCCTCCGTGACTGGGCTGCCCTCAGCCTCTGTCTTGGTGTTCAGCAGGCTGCCGAGGCTGGGGTTGCCCTGAGACATCTGTGGGGAGGACAGGGGCCGTGTTGAGGCTGAAGGCACCTCAGGAAGCAGACAACGGCTGCTCCTCGTGACCCCAGCCCTGCAATGCTGGGAGCAGAGAGCAGAGAAGGTGGCCAACCCCACGTGGCTCTGGCTATAGAAGAGCCTTTTCTGAATGGCCACGGGCAGCAGGCCCTGCAGCTGTGAGGCCCCTGCAGGCCCCACCCCGTGCTGCTAGGCTCCATCACTCAAGCCGAGGCCTCAACTCAGGGAGCTCTCCTGGCCCATCTTTCCCCAGACTTCCCGGCTCCCTGGTTATTTTCCTGCCAGAAGGTTTTCAAAAGAAGGGCAGAAGGAGGGGGGATGGGGGAACCCCTACGAATTCCTTGAGAACAGAGAAGGCACACAAAGGAGGAGCAGAGAGGGAGGGCGAGGCTCGTGGGGCGAGATCAAGACAGGCTGCTGCCAGAGGGGGTGGGGTAGGAGGGGAGTCACGGTGAAGGCTCGACCTACATGGGGTACAGGCACTGACAGGCAGGAGGGAGAGAGGCTGGGGGTGGTGATGACCAAAGAAGGGAAAAGGCGAACAAGAGAGCAAGAAGGAGAGGGCAAGACGAGGGGCCACGAGCCCAGGGAAAGCAGCTGAAGGCCCTCCCCCATCTGGAGTGGGCCGGGACCCCACCCCAAGAGGTCCGGCTTGGCCTGGCTCTCTGCTCAACACAGTCACTTGTGTACAGTAACCAAATTAATCTTGCTGTAGTCAAATTCATCATGTGAAGGGGAAAAATATATTTGAGATGATGTATAATTTACAAAGACCCTGCATTATTTAAAATAAATATTCCAGCACGACCTCTCCGGAAGGCGTCCGAGACCATTACTCAACCCGAAAAGTGGAAATTGATGCTTCATGCCCACTTTAGCCCCTCCTCTCCCCTCGCCCCTTTGGAAACAAACAAAAAATAGATATAAAATAAATAAATAACATTAATAACAAAGAGCGGAAGAAGTTGGAGGGCCCTGCAAAAGCTTTTGAGCCCTCTATCCGAAGTGGGGGGTGTGTGTGGGGGGGAAGGTGTCAGAGGCTGGAATATATTTCTTCAGCCAGTTCATTAAATTAATTTGTAAGCAGTGGTTCTGAAATTATACCCGATGAAAAATGGCCTCAAAATTTAAATGGTACAAACTCATCTTATTAGAGGCAAAACATTAAAAAACAAACACATCCCCCCACCCCCCAGCCCAGCTTTAATTTCTCTGGGTGGGGGGACGGGAGGCGTGTGATTGATGGCTCTTACCTTATTCATAAGCGAGGATAAAAGAGATGAATTTGCTGGGACTGCGTGGCCATTTGATTCATTGCTAAAACACACAAACCAAGGGGCTTTAGCTCTGACATACGTGGGACTGAGCCCGGACTCACCTTCCCACCCAGTCCCTGAGCCTCCGGTCACTCCTTGCTGCACCTGCCTGGGCAGGAGGGGTGATTCCCTGCAGGGGGAGGTGGCCTCTGGCCCCTCTGGGGTTTGACATTGAGGGAGGCAGCCCCCAGAGCCTCCCTTCTGGCTCCCAGGCCCAGGCCTTGGGCCCAGCTGGTCCCTGGGGGAGCAGAGTTGGGGCCCCCCACTGTGAGCCCCACTGCCTCACCTGGGCTCCTTCACAGTCAGGTCTATACTTCGGTCTTGGGAGGCCTCATGGGGGCCTGGGGTGCCAGTGCTCTCACCAGGCTCCTGCTTCACCTGGGCCGGGGGGAACCTGGTGGGGGTGGCCTGCTGCCCGTTTCCTACAGTAGGGAGGGCAGGGAAGATGGTGTCAGAGGGGTGAGGGTGCCGTGTGGGCACAAACCGAAGCCCCCAGGAGGGGGCAGCGGGCCAGGCAGGCTGGGTCCCGGGGGAGGCCTGGATGCTGTTCAGTGATTCTCCCCCACTGACGTGATCGCCTGTGACGCTTACCCCTGTGTGGCAATTCTTCAAGTGATAATTATTGCAAAATTATGTCAAAGTTGTCCTGGCTCAGGGCCTCCTGGAGGAGAAGGGCGGGAGGCTGGGGAGGGGGCTGGAGCGGGGGTGGGGGCCCTTCATTTTCTCCACCAACTGTCACAGTCAATTTGTGGGGCTGCCGCTTAGGCTTTTATTAAAGACTCTGTTAATGCTGAGGGAAAGTGGCAGATCTAGACTGGGAGCTGCGCCCCCTCTGCAGGTCCCCATCCCACTGTTGCCGAGGCGACGGCCCTGCCTTCCACTGAGCATGCCCAGGAGGAGCATCTGCTGTGTCAGGGCTATCGAAGCTGACAGCCAATCAGAGCGGTTCAAACTATGTGACCTCGCCCGTCAAGCTGTCCAGGCCCGGCTGGGCTGCGAGGCCACCCTGGTGGTGCCCGGTCCAGGCGTGAGCCGGGGAGGGTGACGCTAGAGCTAGGCGGGAAGAGGGTGCAGAGGCAAAGCCTCGAAGTGGCCAAAGAAGTTGCTGACAGGAACATGTCCACTGAGCCTTTCTCCACAATGCCCAAGTGACTAAAATATTAATTTGCCCCAAGGCGTTATAGCTGCCAGAGAGCTGTTTCACAGACAGCAAGTGGCATTTTATTAAAAAATAAAGGAAAATGACGCCCTCTTCTTTGCTTGACCTTTCTTTGTGGAGAAGGGGATTTTTCTAGGGAGAAGAAAGTACTTGACAGCCTGGCCACTAAGTGAGGGTGCGGTGGGGTCTGCAGGGGACCTGGCCAGAGAAGCAAGGCCAAGGCAAGACCTGGACTTGAAGGTGGCCTACTCCAACCCACCACCTGGAATGAATGTCCCAGTAGGATGGAGTTTCCAGGACTTAAGAGTCCACATTCCAGCAGCTTCCTGAAGTTACTTGCCCAAGGTCCCTGGGAAACATGGTCCAGGCATCCCCACCAAGCCCTGGCAGCCTCTCAGGGGGTCTGGGTGGAGCCTGGGCTAGGCCGCAGGGACGCTCTATCTTGGTTGGTTTTAAGACAGTCTCATACGGGGGTGGAGCTCCTGGGGCTCGGCAACTAGAATGCTGAGGTCCAAGTCTCCTGCCACTTCCTTAGCTATGTGCCTGGCAATAAGCCCTCCCCCCACCCTTCCACCAGCTCCACAGGGCGGGTGTCTGTCTGTCTTCTCCCTTGCTATCTTTCTGCACCAAGCTCATAGTGAGCGTCGGCGCTCTGAGTGAATGAGTGGTAGGTGCCACACCCAGAGAGCTCAGCTCTTCTCCACGATTCCACTCACAGTGATTCCCAGGATGAGGAGACAGAGAGAGAGGAGCCAGGGACCCGGAAAAGGCAGAAGAACCCAGAGGAAAATAGTACAAAAAAATTAAAAGAGAAAACTTAAGGAATTAAAGACAGAGAGAGAAAGAAAGTAGCGGAAAGAGAGAGAACCGACTGGAGAGTGAGGCAGAAGCAGGACGGGACATGAGCCCCCAGCTCTGTCTCTGCACCATCCAGTTCAGTAGCCACTGGCCGGGTGTGGCCATTTAGTGACAATTCAAATTCAGTCCCTCAGTCATACCAGCCAATTTCAAGTGCTCAAGAGCCACAGGAGACTAGTGGCTACTGTACAGTCTAGTGCAGAGTTGAATACTTCCCCCACTGCGGAAAATTCTGACAGCACTGATGTAGGGGAGAAGCATGGGAGGGCAGCACTGGCCTTGGCAGGCTGGACCCTCTCAGGTTTGAATCGTCCTGAAGTGCAGCTACCCCTACCTCTGGGCTAGCCTCATGTCCTCGACCAGGCCATCTGCCCGGCGCCCAGCAAACCTGCTGGGACTGCTCCCCACTACAGACTGCACTTAGGATGTAGCCAAGAAGGCAGGAGAGGGAGGGATCTGGCAGTTACCTAGGATGTGTGGCACCCCAAAAGGTACGGATTACTGCCATTTTACAGATGAGGAAACAGAGGCAACAGCACCCTGGGTGAGTAGGTCAGAACAAGGGATCCAAATAGGAGATGAATAGGATGGAGGCAGAGAACATGCACGGGGTGGTGCAGGAGGGCAGGAGATGAAGGTATGGAGACCAGAGAGGCACCTCTTCCAAATACCACCCCCACTCCGCTCTGCTCTGCAACCTGAGGCCCGGGAGCTACCAGGGTCTACAAGGTGCCGTCTCCCTGGGCAGGGTCCAGCCTGCTCACCTGGGTCAAAGGTGGCAGAGGGCTTAAGGGCGGCTGCAGCCAGTCTGGCCATCATGGGCGAGATGAGGCCCTTGCTCGCAGAGATCCTCTCCATGATGGATGCTGGGGGCACTGGGACAGAGGCGGTGGTCGCCGGGGCCGTGTCACCAGCTCCTGAGCCAGCCAGGGTGGGCATGTCAGGGGTGGTTGAGGCTCCAGCCCCAGATGACATGGCACCCATGAGGCTGGATGCACCCACAGGCAGGGAGGTGCTCCCACGGCCAGGAAGGATAGGGAAGAAAGGTGCAGTAGCGGGGAGGCCTGAGTTGGAGAGGGCCAGGGCTAGCGGGATGGAGCTGGGCAGGCCCTGGGACAGCAGACCGGACATCTTGCTATTGGGAGGCTTGGGGGCACTGCTGGGCACCACCTCGGTGGTGGTGGTGGCAGAGGAGGCGGCTGCCACGGCCAGGGAGGCGGAGGACTGCTGGCTGGTGGGGGAGGCGCTCAGGCTCGAGTTTTTGCTGCTCAGGGCAGAGAAGTCGATGAGGTCATCATTGCTGGATTCCTCCTGCTCCATGTCCTTGGTGCCCAGCAGTGAGGGGGGTGGCCCCAGCACACCCGAGGCGCGGACGTGCCGCCTTTCGTGCTTGCGCTTGTGCGAGGTCATCTGGCTGGTGGAAGTGAAGGTGAAGCCGCAGCCGGCGCGGATACAGTGGAAGTGATTGGTGGCCTTGCTGTACACGCAGCCCTCATACTTGCACTCCTCATACTTGTAGAACTTCTTGAAGCCGTCCTTGGCGTAGGCGTCATCCTTAATGTGGTAGCTCTTGTGCTTCTCGATGTCACACTTGTTCTTGAAGGTGAATGTGCAGCCGGGGCGCCTGGACGGGACATCGGGAACCTGTCAGGGCCTCATGGGGCCAAGAGGAGGTCTTGCCCTGTTCCCACCGAGGATGGAAGACCTAAGCTGAATACCAAGGCAGAGCCTCTGAGCAGCCCTCAAATTCTGTTCCTGCTCATCTTGAGAAAGCAGGGCCCTGAGATGGAAAATGGCCTGGGTCACTGCCTCCCGCCCAACCTCAGCCCAGGAAAGCCCCCAGTAGGCCCTGCTCACCTGCAGTGGAAGTGCGTGGTCTTCTGCCCGTAGAACTGGCAGTCCGCCGTGCCGCAGTCCTCGGTGGCCCGGAAGCGCTGGAAGCCGTCATTGATGAGCTGGGTGTTCTTCTTGTGGAAGTTCTCGTGAGTCATCACATCTGATGTGCTCGTGTACACCTTGTTACAGCCCACCTATAGGGGCCCAATGGCTGTCAGGGCAACGGAATCCAGGCATACCTGGGCCATGGGGCCACAGACCACCGGCTCCCTGCTTAGGGGAGCTCTCAGCACTGCTAAAGCTCCAACCGGAGGCAACTCATCAATACAGGAAGCCAAGTAGAAAGCCTCTAAGAATCCCTCAGGCCCTCCAAGGAGCAGCCCAGACCACCCTGGGCACTTGCTGGTCAGGTGTCTCCAGACCCCCTGGACACTTGAGTGCAGGTGCGAGAGGCCCATGCTGTAGGAGTTGGCTGTCGAGTCCCCTTTTGTGGCCTTACCTCTAAAGTCCCCAGGGAATGGGCAGGGGCTAGACCCTGGAGTCCAGGTGGTCACTTTTAGCCCAGGAACGCGCTTAGTGTCTCAGTGGACAGTTGCTGGGCACAGAGCCCTCCCCACCCCACCCCCCACGGGCTAGGGCAGGCAACGTTGCCATATTGAGTAAAAAAACAGTGGAATCTGAAAACTCCCGAGGGCTGTGCTGTGCCAGTGTCTGCACCATCTCAGAGCCCACAGGGGAGCCCCCCTCTCCTCGTGGCCCAGGTTATTTCAAAGAGGCCATAACAACCCCTGACAAATACAGGGGGGTGGGGGGATGGTGGTGCAGTGGCTGCTATTTGCAACCCAAAGTTGCTCTCCCTGGGCCTGACACCTTGAAAAAGCCCAGACTCTGCCCGGCATTAAAACAAAGAATTAAACAAAAACCTCCTCAGGAATCATGTGCAATGCTGCTCTTGGTGTTAAAGCCTGAAAAACGTCCGTCTGTATAAACAGTTCATGGAATTTCATCCACACCAAGTATGGCCATGAGGAAGGCCCCACCCGGGCCCACCAGAGCAGCCCAGGCCTGAGCCCCCAGGACTTTCTCCGCTGGCCTCTGCTGTGCCCGTCCCGGTGCAGGGGGACAGGAGTCAGGGCAGGCCCGGGCCGCGAGCCCCTGCCCACCTGCATGCAGTGGTAGTGCGTGCTCTTCCCGTTGAGGTGGCAGCCATGGTAGTAGACGCTGCAGTCGTCCAGGGGGCTGAAGCGCATGAAACCATGCTGCAGGGAGTTGTCACGCTTCTTATGCATGTTGTAGTGCCGGATTACATCCTGCTTACTGGTGAACCTCTGCCAGAGAGAGGGCAGTTGGCGGAAGGCTGGGTGGCAGATGATCCAAGGGCACCGGGACCAAACACAGGCCCCACGACTCAGCCTTCCTATACATAATCCCCCTGGAGGCCAAGGCAGCCTAGACGGCCTCAAAGTCAGTGTCTGGCACACTGGACCTTGGTGGGAACAATTCCAAAGGTTCCACGTCTGTAGACCCTTCCCCTGACCTCCTCCCCAGTTCCCAATAGCTGTGCCCAGGGGCAAGGCCACTGAATCAGGCCACACCTTGGAGGCAGGGCCTCTGATGAGTGATAACTTGGTTTCTCCCAGTACCACCTAAGAGCCATGGCTGCTGGACTCCCTGGTGAGACGGGAGGGACCAGCCCCTGTGCAGACTGCCTGCACTTCCATCTCATTCACTCAGCAACAAGCTATCCAAACTCCAATTTTGTCATCTAAGAGAAGGAGCAGGAATCAGGGAACAGGCAGCTAGTTTTCTGGGACTCTCCACCTGTCTGAGTTCAGGTGGCCCAAGCAGACCTGAACACAGCCTCCCTCCAGCTGGGGGCTGAGGCCCATACCTGGTAGTTGCACTCCGGGTCGAGGCAGTGGTAATGCTCACGGTACTGGTAGGCACAGTGTATGTGGCCGCAGTGCTGACTGCCCGAGAACCTGAAGAAGGAAGGAGGGTGCGGGTCAGGCTTCTTCTGGGCCCCCAGGTTAGATGTGCTGGGCCCTGTGGAGGGATACTGCGGGGCCAAAGTGGCCAGTTAGGGTGAAGCAGTAGAGGCTAGACTATGGGGTGGGCTCTCCAGCCCTAAGAAGGACAGGGGAAGGGATAGGCTTGCTGGGAATCCCAGGTCCAATGGGCTGCAGGCTGGCCGTCTGCCTGTCTGCTGTAGGTGCCTTGCACCCCAGGTGGAGAGGAAGGTGCTGGGGCAAGCTCTGAGCCAGAATAGAGACAGATGGGGGAGATGTGGGACAGGGACAGGGAAGACAGGAGCCCCGAGGTGGCCCAACCACCTTTTCTACAGGTTGATGTCTACCCCAGCCACCACCACCTTCAGTCTAGGGGCAGGTGCTGGGACCCTGGTGGGGTCAGCCCTGTGGCTCTGATGCTGAACAGTATTAAAGGGCTTTCTCTTACTTGGGCTTTTCCTGACACTTGAAACAGTCCAGAGTGATGAATTTTTAAAGCCCAGCATCTGTTTGGCTGCCTGCAGCAGGGAGCTCGCTCTCCCAGCCAACTCCACAGCCAGGAGTCCCACCCGGCCTGGCCACCCCTTTCCTCTCAGGCCCTGATCCTGCCAGGATGTGGTTCTCACTGTCCCGAGGGCAGCTGGCCCTGGGGAGGCACCTTAGGGAGTGTGTACCATGACGACTGGGTGGAAAGTGCACGCTCTGCCTGCTTGCTCACCCCCAATGGTGATGTGAGGTTGCAAGAAGAGAATGAAAGAAACCCCAGTTTTAAGGGGGAGAGCCACTGGCAAATAAATATTTGAGCTGAAGCTGCCAAAAGGGCCATCTGCCGAGGCACTAACAATAATGATAATAACAATAAAGAGAAGATAAACGGAGCAAAGTTGAAAAGACAGAGAGATGAGGAAGGGAAAGACACAGAGAGGGATGGCAAAGACTTGGAGGATCAGCAAAAGGAAGACACCAGGGCGCTGCCAGGCCCCGTGCTGCCTAGCCAGAGGCCAGAAGTGAGAGGCTCTGATTTGGGGGCATCTGTTGAGGTGAAGGCCCTTCACTGTCAACTCTGCTGCACTGAGGATGGAAAGGGCAGGTTGGGAGTCAGGCTCTGAGGTCAGGGCCTCTTCCAGAGAGCACCCTGAGCCAGGTCAGCGGGGAACTCCTTGGACAACTGCCACCCACACTCCTTCCCATCGCCAACCTGGTAGTCTGCTTCCCACCCCGAGGCTGCATGGGAGGGCAGAAGCTTGGCCAGCCATAGAGGAAGCAGGGCCCTGCATTCACCTGAGGCCAGGCCCTGCTGTCAGGCCCCTTCTCATCCCTGTCTGGGTACAAAGCTGCTTAAGGGCCCTGTGGCATGGACCATCCCAGGTGGGGGCACTAAGATGGGTGCAGAGGGCAGCCTGTTGGGGTGTACAGGGGTAAGAGTGTGTGGGGACGAGGCAGGCACCTTGGTGCTAATGGTCAGACAGATGGCTGGTCCAGCAGTCCCCAGGCATTCCTAGCTCCCCGCTACCACCTTCTCTCCACAACAGGCTCCTCCCCCAGGGGCCTACCTGGCAATATATTTCTGGTAAATGTTTACATCTTCGGTGACAGCTGGTTTATCTGTGGGCAATCCGTTCCTGGCGAGAGACACACAGGGCACAGCCGATTAGCGGACGGGGGGTGGCCTCATGCCCCAGGAGCATCTGGTAGGGCCAGCTCCCTGCCCTGGGGCCCTGGCCCTTCTCGCCTTCGCTCAGTCATGTTCCGAGGCACTCAGGTTTGCATTGACAAAGTCCCTGGGCAGAAACCTGGCACAACTCCAACTAGTCCAACTCTGACAAGAGCAGGGACATCTTGAGCTGACAGGGCAGGTGCCCTGGGCTTCATACCTCAGCCACGGCCTGGACTAGAGTCTGACTGTGAGGAAGGCCTAGGAAGCCTGGATCTGCTTCCCTTGCATACAGGGAACACACAGGGAAGCTGGAGGCTGCTGGCTGTGGAGAGCACTGAGTGGGCAGGGTGGAATGAAAGCTGCCTCACTCTCATGCTGGAGGGCACACCTGGCAGTCCCCTGATCTGCTCACCCAGTTTACAGTTTGGGTTTCTGTCCAGGGTTTGGGGGCTCCTGTGGCCGTCAAGTCGGACCCAACTCATAGAGACCCCTCCTTGGGTTTCCAAGGCAGTATCACTACGGAAGTAGATTGCCCCATCTTCCTTGTGAGGAGTGGCTGGTGGGTTCGAACTGCCAGCCTCCTGGTTAGCAGTCAAATGCCTCAGGTACTACGCTACCAGAGGTTCCATGGTAGAATTTTGGTGCTGGTGGAATGCAAGGCAGGGCCATAGGAAGGGTCTTGCTCAGCCCCATACAACCACTTGCTTTACCCTGGGATAAGGGCAGAAACAGTGCACCTACCCTACCCAGCCTCCTGCCTCCTCTTATTGCCTTGCCTTGCAGTCCAGGTTCTGAACCCAGGGAGCCCTGCTCTCCAGCATGGACTCCAGGGTCCCACTCTGGGGTGGGATTTCTTAGCCATGGCAGCAGGCAGAGGACACTTATCATGGCCAATGAGGGACCATAGCAGTCTGTGGTGCACTAGCAAGTAAATATGTATGTACAAGTTCTGAGTGTGTGAAGGTGTGTCTGTGAGCATATGTGGGAGGAGGGGGAGGGACAGGAAGATGGATAGCATGTGGGCCCATGAGTGTAAAGACATAACTGTGTAGGAGCATGCTATGTGGGTGCATGAGTGACTGTGTAGGCAGAGGAGGACACATGTGGATAAGTGTGTGCGCATGGGAATCAGTAGTACTTGAGCATCTAAGCAAATGTGCACATGGGGTGGGGTGAATGTGTGTGTCCCCAAAGCACAAATATGTGTCCACAGCTCCAAGGCTGGGAAGTGGCCTCCTGGTCTACTCTAGTCCCAGGGCAGGGTGGGAGGCACCTTACTTGACAGTGGAGACGGTCCCCGTGGTGATGGAGTCTGTTTTGGAGAAGGTGGACTTCAGGTACTCGGGAGTGTTGAAGGGCAGGGAGGCGGGCGGTTCAGGTGCAGGCCCGGGGGCGCTGGGGGCGCTGGGTGCACTGACGAGGGGTGCAGGAGCCAGACTGGGGGCAGGCGGGACCTTGGCTGGGCCCAGCTTCTGGACGCCCCTGACGTCATACTTGGAGGGGCGCCCCACCTTGCCTGTCTTGAAGGCAATGGCTCCGCCCATGTCAGGGCTTCCCTCCCCAGGCTTGAAGAGGTGGAGGTACTTGACGTTCTCCAGGTCGTATTTGGATGGCTTCTTGTAGGTGCTCCCGTTCTGCGGCCGCAGGCTCTCACCTGTCTTCAGTTTCTGGATGAAGAAGTCGTACTTGGAGGCGCGGGCCATGAGGCCCTGCATCTGGACGCTGCTGTGGGAAGGCAGGGGCAGGATGGTGGCCTTGGTCTCCAGGTGGGCTGTGTTGCTGGGCAGCCTCAGACTGGGCAGAGGGCCCACCACTTCCTTGCCGGTCCGCTCCTCGGCCTTGGTGCCGTGGGCCGGCCAGGAGAGCTGTTCGCCAGCCTTGAGCTTGCGGATGTACTCCTCGTATTTGGAGAAGCGTGCCCGCTTGCTGAGGGCGTCCTCAGAGGAGGGCAGCACGGAGGAGGCAGCCCCCTCAGGGGTGGAACCTGCGTGCAGCTTCTCGAAGCTGATCTTCCTGGCCAGCTCGTCCCTGGTATTCTGGTCATCATAGCCAAACATGCCAAGGAATTCAGTCATGGTGGAGGCCGCATAGTCCCGCAGTGAGGAGGCCTCACCTACAGCCGGACAGAGATGGGCAGTCACTTCAGTGAGGGGCAGCAGTGAGACAGGAACCCCCCCCACCGTGAAGCCCCACCCCAGGGGGAGGGGTGTTGTCTGGGGGGGCTGGAGCAGGACATGATCTATGGACATTTGGCTCACTTGTTAGGTTTTACGACTCTTAAATTAATTTGTTTTAAAAAAAAGTAATTAATACTGGGGTAAAATAAAACGAGTTCATCAATGCCAGGAAAATCAATTTCCTAAATGTTCTGGCCGATGGCTTTTCAGTACATTAAACAAAGTTTCATAAATGTCTCCGCTCTCTCGCCTTGGCCTAATATGAAAGAGAAGTCATTTTACTGGAAGTAAGGCCAGAACCCAACCTGCCTCCTGGGTGGGGGTGAGAACAGGGGTGCAAGGACAGGTAAGGATGTGGGTCAGTAGCCGGAAGGGAGCCGTGGGGGCTGTGGGAGACGCTCTGGGGTCAGCGACCAGCTGGCTGTGCCTTATCTGGAGACCTTCGCTGACCCCCACAAATGGATACATGGGTTGTTGTCCCTGAGAGGAAAAGTGGATACCCCAAGACTTCTCAGGGAGTTGGAGGTCCCAGACATGGAGCTGGGCAGAAGTGAGGGCTAACGAGCTCTAACTCACTTAGGCCATCCCCCTCCCACCAAGACTGATTATGTAAAAGAATCCTTTATATACCTCCTCACCCTCCCCCAGCTCCTCAGGAGCAGGACCCAGGGCAGGCATGGAGAGGGCTGGCCTGCTGAGCCCAGGGCAGAGGCCCAAGTGTAGTCTACCCATCCTCCCCTACCTCCACTCAAGGGCACACTGAGATCCCAGGGGGCAGCCCTCTAGCCCCAGTGACCCTGACATAAACTAAAAACCAAAGCCATTGCCCTTAAGTTGATTCTGACTCATAGCGATCCCCATTTGGTTTCCAAGGTAGTAAATCTTTATGGAAGTAGATTGCCCAGTCTTCCTTCTACAGAGTGGCTGGTGGGTTTGAACCACCAACCTTCTGGCCAGCAGTCAAATGCCTTAGGCACTGCACCACCAGAGCTCCTTAGTGACACTGATATACAGAAAAAAAACAAAACTCACTGCTGTTGAATCAGTTCCAACTCATAGTGACCCCTTCTTGGGTTTCCGAGCATTATCTCTACGGAAGTAGATTGCCCAGTCTTACTTCTAAGGAGTGGCTGGTGGCTTTGAACTGCCAGCCTCCTGGTTAGCAGTCAAATGTCTTAGGCATTACCCACCAGAGATCCCGACATTGACATTCACACATACATATTTACATACACACACTCCACCATTCCCACTCACAAGCTCACATCCTTAGCTACCCTCCTAATGCCACAGACACAGACACAGATATATACAGGCAGACCACGTCAAACCAACACCTAGCTCCCACGTCAACATCTCAGGACAGTAGTAGGTGAGACTACCCCATTCTCTCTGGGGTGTCTCTATAGAGGTACCTCCTTCTGTGTACAACCTTACACCCAGCAAGCGCCTGACTCCCCAGCACACATAAGCATTCCTTCCTTCATAAAGACTCACTAAACCCCTACTATGTGCTCCACCCTGAGCCAGGGCTGCATGCATACAGGAGGGTGAGACATGCACACTCTCTTCATTTGCATGTTAGCAAACACAGTTGGGCATGCACAGAACAGCAAGACCCCAGGCCAATGGTCCTGAGTGCATGAAAAGAAAAGTGGTGGCAGCAAGGGTGGGAGGTCCAGGGCCCAGCAGGGTAGCAGAGGCAAGGTCTCCTCTGATCCCACGCCGGCCTGGCAAGCCTGGGATTCCAGACCTCACCTGGAGGTGCCTGGATGGGCCAGGCCTGTGCATGGGTAAGAAAGAAACCCAGAGGCATGTAGAAGGTGAGACTCTGAGCTCTTTTGGGGAAGCGACTGCTATAGGAGCTAAGATCCTACTAGGGAAGAAGAAGGACTTTGACAGTGGCCACCAGGCACCCAATGGGCAGTGACTCCAGGAGCTGACACAGCTTGCTTGCCCGGGGTGGGGCTGGTGGTGAGCTGCTGTCTTGACCTCTAGCTCAAAGGGCTGGGGGCCCGTCCTGGGAGGAGTGGGCGCTGGCGGCTGCCTTCAGTGGTTCAGGGACCAGGGAAAGGGGCTAAAAATAGCTGGAGGCAGCTGAGCCCTCGCTATATATGGCAGAGAAATAGAAGGCTTTAAAGGACATGCGGCTTAGCGCAGGAGGGGGCCAGGCTGGGGTCCCTGGGCCAGCCTGGAGGCCTGCATTCTTGAACCCCGGGGCCCTGTGGCCTCGGGAAGGTGGCCCTGTGGGGCTGAGTCCACGGTGGGAAGCCAGAGTCTGGGCTATGTTCTCCAGAGCCCACGGCTGAGCAGGCATCCTAGTGTCCCACCCAGCCTTCAGCCAGATGGGTGAGGCCAGGGCCATGAGGCTGGAGGTTCAGGCCCTGCCTCCTGTCTTCCCAGCTCTCCACTCTGCTGGAGAGGGAGGGGAGGCTGCCAAGGCATACTCCATTCCCCTGGCCATGGGGTGTGAGCTGGATGCTAAGGGACAGCAGCCCTGGTCTCTGTCCCTCTTCTCTCCTCAGGCCCAGCACAATCACCTTGTGTCTGGGAACGGCAAGGGCTTTTCCTATCAGAGGAAACTGAAGGTCACACTTTTCCTCATTGATCTTGCAATGTTTGTTAATTACTCTGTCACTGATGTGGCGAAGGATAATTAAACAGCTCTGTTTATATCTTATATGCATAATTATGTGGCTGCGCAGGGCTCCCCGTGCAGGGAGGAGGCACCCCTTGCTGCAGGGGGAAGGGGACCAGGGAGCAGGCAGGGGGGAGGGGGGAGGCAGACACAGGGCACCAGGCACTAGCCCAGGAGAGAGAAACTAGGGGCTAGAGACCCCAGGCCTTGGGGATCCAGTCCTAATGGGGACCCTTACCAGCCGAAACCCAAAGCTCTGTTTTTCCTGGAGCAGAAGGAGCTTGGGGCTGCTGAGAACAGAGGACAAGGAGGCTCCTGAAAAGCTGGGCTCAGCCAGCTCGTGGGAAACAGGAGGTCAGCCAGAGGTCTGCGGCTGGGCAGGTGGGTGTAATGTGATATGCTGGCTGGGCCGGGCCAGGCCAGGCCATCCTCATGGGCCCGTGCCTCACCCACTGCTCTGGGCCGAATGGCCCTGCCTGGGAGAGCCAGCGAAGGCAAAGTGAGGGGAGATGAGATGGTGGTGGCAACTTTGGAAGAAAACCAAAGGGAGGTGTGGGAGAGCAAAGCTTATCTTCGAGCTTCTTGGAGAAACTTCCCTGAGAAGTCGTATTTGGAGACTAGCAGCTCAGGCAGTTCACGATGCTGACCACTGCACCCCACACTTACACACAGGTACTATGTCCCTCAACAGGCTCATCTCTACGCAGTTGTGATAAAAATAGAGCCTGTCATCTGGCCACTCATCTATCTACCCGCTCACTGTCCATCTATCCATCAATCCATCCATCCATCTACTGTCCCTCTGTCCACCCATCCATCTACACACTCACTGTCTGTCCATCTATCCATTTACCTATCCATCCACCCACCCATCTATGCACTGTGTCTGTCCATCCACCCATCCATCCATCCACACACCCACCGTCTGTCCATCCAACCATCTGCCTGCCCACCCATCTGTCCACCATCCATCCATCTGTCTGTCCATCCATTTGTCCATCCATCATTTCTTGTTAGGCAGCTCCTACCCTGCTCACACACTTGGGAAACTCCCTTCTCTTCTACCCCTCTGTGGCCCTCCTCCACCTCTTCACAACTAGTCTGTCTCCTCCTTCATTCTAGTCACTACCTCTGGTCTGAGCCCCACCCCTTCTTCAAGGGTCCTCAGGTGTTTGAGTGAGGTGCCAGCATTTGGAACAAGAGCAGGGAATGCATGCATGCTCCCTGGCTACACCATCCTTCCCTGCTGGGTCTTCTCATGGGGTTGTGTTCTGTCCCTTCAAAGCCAGACACTCACCCGAAGCCTGCTTGGCACTGGGACCACTGTCGTCCTTAGCAGCTGCCCGGTCCAAGTCCTTCTCCTCCAGGACACTGCTGTCCTTGGCAGGCTCTTCCCCATGGTCCTCCTCGTCACTGCAGCCCTGGGGTTGCACCATGTAGACACCTTCGGGAGGCAGCTCCAGGCCCTCGCGGGCAATCCGCCCCAGCAAAGGGGTGGGCACTGGCTCCTCACTGTACTCCCCATTGACCCACTTCTCGATCACTGCCCGCCGCTTGTCTTCTTCGCTGCGCGGGGCCCGGGCTACCCCAGACTCAGGGCCACCGCGCTCTTTGTCCCGGGGCCGCAAGGGGCTGCCCTCAATAAGGGAGCCAACTTCTGCTCCCTTCTCCACCACCACCTGGCGGCTCAGCTTGGCACAGATGGCATTGAGCTTCAGGCCGCCTTTGCGCTTGGTCGCCATGGCGGGCTTGCCTGCAGGCGGGTCAGAGCACCGGGTGCCTTCAGCTGCAGGGATGGAGGAAAACATGTCAGAGGATGCAGACCAAATACCACTCACCCCGTGAAAGGCCGGGACCCAGGCTCTGCCCCACATCCCCCAAGTCAGAGATCATCCCGATCCAGGTTCTCCTACAACTTTATCAACTACTGGACTACAAGCTTCAAGAGGTGGCGCTATCCACAGAGCCTGGCAAAGCACATGGCACACAGTAGGTGCTCCAGGAAGTAGTTTGTGAATAAACGAATGTATGGAAATACAAGGGATACTCCTGTTTCCGGCATCTGGTTCCTGGAAGCATTTCCAGGATGTGTTGGCCTCTGAGAGGTAGCAAGTGCTGGTATAAAGGGGGTGGGTGAGTCCTTTGACACACAAGGAGACCGAGGCCCTAACAAGTTCTGGGGGTGGCTGCAGATTAAAGCTGGTGAGGGACAGTCTGACCACACTTGTGAACTTACTCCCTCACCCCATGGTCTCCTGGAGAGGAGACAGCCGAGGACCAAGGGCCAGCCTGTGCAGCCTCTTGTCCGACTGCTCAGCAGCACTTGGCCGGCCCCTTCCTTGCTGTGCCTCATCTCCTCCCCCAGGGCTTCCCTGAAGGCCAGGCCCCAGGGCTCCATCCAACTGCTCCCTCCCTCTCACTGGACAGCTCTGGGATCTGCTTTTTTCCAGCTACCTGGGAACCTCCAGAAAGCCTCCCTACTTCTTATCAGGGTCTTCCTGTCCCTATTCCAGCCCCTCTCTTGGCTTCTTGACCATCTTCTCTTGCCTCCCCCTCGCCCCAAGCATCAGTGAGAGAGTCCTAAGGCTACTTGCCCCACCCTGGGGCCTCACTCATCCTTGTCGGCCTCAGCCAGCTCCAGTAGCCTGGAAAGGCCTTGCCGACTCTGAAAAGTCCACTTCCCAGCCTGAGGAACCCCAGCTGAACAGGGAAGGATTCTTTGGCTCCCCAGTGGGAAGCCTAGAAGCTGCAGTTTCAATGCCTAATCCCTGAACATGACAGCCCAACACGAATAGCCAGAAATGCTCACTGGGCCACTGAGAGTGCTAGCCAGCCTCCCTCCTAGCCAGCCCAGATGGACAGCTCTCAGCTCCCATCCCTGAGGGTGACACTGAGGGTCCCAGGGGGATACAACAAGCCCACCCACCAATCTGAGACTTGCCACAAAGGCCAACCAGGGTGAATACACACATAAAGTGACCCCACATACAATTTATTTGTATGTCCACCTGTCCATATGTCTGTCCATCCATCCATCTATCCATCCATTAGTGAGCCTCTGCTGTGTCAGACCCTGTGGCGGAGCTGGGGACAGGTGGTGGTTGCCATAGATGTGGTCCTCAGCTGACACTCACTTTATGTACAGGGGGCCAAACCAAAGCTGGTCCATGACAGTGAGGCTCCCCACGGCCTAGATCAAGTGTCCCCCAACGAAGAACTGGGCAGGTCCAAGTCCCCAGAGAGGCCAAAAGGCTCTGTTCTTCAAGTCCACAGTCAGAAGGGGCTTCACTAAAGTGGACCAACTTCCATAAAACCCACACCCCTGAAAGTCTACCAAGAGACACACCTAGGTAGGACTGGCCATACCCTCTACCTGCCGTGGGACTCATCCCACAATGGGCCTTCCTTGTGCAGATACTTGTCCCCTGATACATACAGTGCTCAGTGGTCCCAGCTAGATCCTGGCCAAGTGGCCAGCCCCAGTGTGCACAGACTTACTTCACCTGAGGGCCCCAGGTAACTCCAGCTACCCCACTCTACCATCAGAGAAGGGTCTCCTTGGTTCCCCAACCCTGTGGCTTCACCTTGCCCAAGCCAGTGTGCCCATTCTCACCACACTTCATCCTTCTGCAACTCTGTGCCACCCACACCTCTAGTCCCCAAGCACAGATGGGGGTTCCTTCTCCAGGCACTCCTGATCTCACTAGCTGCCCAGTCTCTAGGCCAGCCACCAGGCTTGGTGACACCGAGTTTCTTCCAACAGGCCCCTGGCCCAATCTCTCACTACTCTTGACCCTACTGAGAAGCAAGCCTCACCTGGTCCCCTTTGTCTCTTGTTCTGGATGGGGAAGGAAAGGGAGGGAGGGGGGACTCTCCACTATTTTTATCAGGAGGAAAGCAGCCAAGTGTGTACGGCAGACAGCAAACGAATCTATAAATATTTATCCCAAGGAAGAGGGCAGCACAAGCTCCCCGGACTGCACTTGCTGTTGGTGACACCCACTCCCGAGGCCCCCACCCATCCTGGAGCCTCCTCCGCACTCTGGCCCACCCAGCCCGGCCCACCGTCTCCTGATCTCGGCTGTGTGCCTGGCTCAATCCCTGCCTGGGCCCCCACCAGCTGCGATGCAGCTGTGTACCCCAGGCCCCCCCCCAGCTCCAGGCCCCTTTGCTCCTGATGACTCCCCCTACACCTGCTCTCCAGCTGCCACTCAGCCCCAGCCCACCTGCCTTCCAGATGTTGCCCTCCCTCTGACTCTATGGCTGGTCCCACGGGTGGAGGAGGGAGAGGGCTGTGTGGGCCAGGCTATGGGGCGGGAAGCAGGGGCAGTGCTTGTGTGAGCGAGGGGCCATGAGAGGCTGGGCGGTGGGCAAGGGACACGTAAGATCTGAGCTCAAAGTTGCCTGCCTTTGGCCTGCCCCAGGCCTTTCCTCCTGCCCCCCCCCAAAGTCAGGGCCCTGGGACCCCAGACTACCCCCCTCCCACTAGTCTGACCCCAGTCTCCTGCCCATATAAACATTCCCTTGACTTTCTTCCCTAAAATATAAACGCCGTGGGCAGGCCTCAATGGGAGGAAGCCATCCGTCCCCGGCCCTGTCACTGCCCCTTTCATCTCCTTCCCGCCACCAGCCTGCCCGCTGCTCTATTTACACTGGACACTTCCTCTGGGAACAATACTGCCCAGGAGGCAGGCTAGGCCAGAGGGTGGGAAGGTGAGGGCACTCCTGTTCGCTTACCAGGGGTGAGGCAAGGGGAGGGGGCAGCTGAGGTGGGCTCAGCCAGGCTGGTACCTGTGGCCAGGCAGTGAGCCCTCTCTGGAGCTCTCCATCCCTGGCAGACCCCCTGGGAGAAAGCTCGGAGGTAGCTCCCCACTGTAGTTCCGAGCCCCGGCTCTGGGGCCCGACAGCTGGGTCCTACTGGTCCATACTCTAGCTCCAGGCCCTGGGCAGGTTCTCTCCTCTGTACAGTGAATGCAGGATGGAAACATGAGAGGGTACCTATCTAGCACAGGAGCAAGCAGGTACCCGGGAAAAGGCAGCTAAACCTAGAAGGGGACAAGCAGCCAGACAGAGCCCTGCATCTAGGCAGGAGATCCTAAGACCAGGACACTTTACCTGGCCTCGAAGAGGTAGGGAAAAAGGAGACTGGGGGGCTGGGGGGCTTCCTCATCGCCTGGCTCCTCACATTCTGACTTTCCCTCCTAGAGCTTGGCTCCTTTCCAGTCCCCACCTTCCCTTAGGCAGCTCTTGTCTGAGCTGAGCAGACCCTGACCTGTGTGCATGTGTGTGGCAGAGGCAGGCCTGCACTGACTACCTTTTTGGGGACTATCTCACTGATGTCTCCTAACAATGCAGGTGAAGCAGGTATTGTCACTGTCCCCATTTTACAGAGGAGGAAACCAATCCTCACAGCTGCTCTGACCCCCAGAGCCCTGGCTCAAACTGGACAAGAGGTCCCCCAGGCTGGGGCTCAACAGGGGTTAGGCTGCCCCCGTAACATCCTCTCAGAGGCTTCTGGTCTGATGCTAGGATGCCCCAGCCAGCCCTGCAGGCTCCTTTCCATCCCTGCTCCATCTCCTCCTCACCCCCACTCCCTGCTCCCATAACAAGGAGCTCCCTAAAGTGTTAACTACGATGGGTAAAATGGTGCAGCAGATTGCTACAATAAATAATTTACTGATATTTATAAATATTCAAATCAGCCAGCTTCAGAAATCGAATGAGGGGAGGGCCTCAGGAGAGGGGGCCCGAGATGGCATGGATCTCATCCCTCCCTCCCAAGGCTGAGGAAGGCCAGGGCTCCTGCCAGTGTTGGTGAGAAAGGCAGACTTCCATAGCTGCACCTGGACCCCTTGTCCCCTGACCCCCAGGTCAAGGGTGGGGTGGCTAAAAGAACGGCTCCTCTGTAGGGTCACAGCCAGGCCTGTCTCCACAGGCAGACTGGGCTCAAGACTGCCCAGTGCACCAGAGGCAGCCTATGCCCACTGCCCCAGGCTCTGTGTCTCTGAGCTGTGCATCCTGCCCTGGGGTGGGGGAGACATTCCCAGGGGTCCAGGAAGGCCAGCGGGCCCCTCCCCATCCCATGAGTGATGGTGTTTCGGGCCGGGCCGCCTGTCAGCCACCAGGCTCCCGGTGCTTTATGGGCTCTGCTTGGTGGCTCTGAACTCCCTGGTAGGAAATAAAGTTCTCCCTCCGCGTCCCTTCTAAACATTTCACTCAGTGGAAACGGTGTTTAAGAAAAATGAGGACATATTTCTTCCTAAGGATGCAGTATCCCCTTTGGGCGGCCTAATGCCCGCTGTATATCAGGAGGTGGGAGGCAGGGCCAGGAACCCATCCCCCGGGGCAGGGGCAGCCCCGCCTGCCCTCTGCCAGGCGGCTCGGGCCCGTGGGTACCGCTGGGCACCTGGAACACATAGGCAGTTGCAGCCTGTGAGTGTCCCCCCACCGTCTGCTGCCTCCTCTGTGTCAGGGACATGTTAGACCCTTTGGGGTGTCCCCTTGGTGAATCCCCACAATGTCCCCCTGCAGCCGCTTATAATATCCTACTTCCAGAAGGAAGCAGAGGCCAGAGAGGCTGGTAACTGCCAGTCATACAGGAGCTGGTGCTGGTGCTGGATTCCCACCAGGCCCTGACTTCCAAGTTCATGTTTCTAGAGACCGTAGGCATACCTCCCCATAGTCCCCACCAGCTGTTCTGGGGTCTCAGGGGTGGCCCGGGTGTCAGAGTCACCCCCCTGCTACTCCATAAGACCTTGAACTTGATAGGCCCAAAGCCCCAGTTTT